TTGATAACTCACAATTTATGAAAACATGTGATTCAGTTAAGCACGTGCATATTGGGGGGTGTTTTTTTTTCAATAAAACTAAATAGGGGTGGGCATTTACAACAAAATTGCCTATGGGTTTTTCAAAAAAAAAACTTATGAGATGGAATGTTAAACTTTAAGTGATTCTCTTGATTGTATAACTCATAGTTTTTGAATGGCATGGTTCTCTTGATCGAGGGGATGTTCAAAATTTCGAATATGGTTCTATTGCTACGATGTGTCGATGTTTACTTCCATTGTACTAGTAACTTAAATTATTTACGCGTTAATTGAAACCAATGCATAGACTTTGGTACCTCCCCAACAAGTCAAAAGATATGCATACTAACCAACTAGTCGGATTTCACCCCCCCTCCCCCCCGCCTACCACGTCGCTCGTAAGTGACACGGGTGGCGATCAACAGACAACGCTGTTGGTTATATTTGTCCTCTCCTCCGCCTTGCTGCCACTTGAGCTAATTACTAGCCACGCAATGGCAAGGATGATGGTGGCGGGGCTTCCTCTTTCCAATTTTCCCTAGTGCGATAGTGAAGACTCTAGGGATAAGAGCCAGTGGATCTAGGGCTTCTACGTCCGGATTTAGCCACACAACGACAGATGACGATAGTGAGTTTCTTTCTTTGCAAGCTTTCTTGGCTCCATCACTACTCCTCCTTGGCCTCCTGGCTAGGTTGTGGGGAGCTTCGAGGGGCTGGGTTGCCGGTGGTACGATGTTGCTGTGGTTTCAACTTTGGCTTTTGCGGATGACAATGTTACTATTTGGCATGTAGGCTGGTTATGTGTGATGAGGGAGTTGTCGAATGGTGAAAGCCTTGCTAGATTCTAGCTAGCTTCGATGACGGTGATGCTTTCGAGCATCGTTTTTCTTCTTGGAGGCATCCTCACTTCTTCCCATCCCTCCACATTGGCCTTCAGGTAAAACCTTTTGCTTTGGTCCTGGTAGAGTGGTAGCGGCATCTCACGTCGTGTCCTCCTCTGAGGCGTCGCTTTGGAGGACCTTCTTTGTGCGGCAATGGTCATTGTTGGGAACCTACGTCAGCTCAGTGGCTTTAATGGCTATGGCAGTGTGGTAAGATTTGGGCGAGCTATTGATTTGCACTAAAGTTATTCTCCGACGATATCTTCCACATTTGTTCGATATCAGTTGTCGGCGGTGATGTGAGTGAAATTCGACCAGTGCAATGATTGGCCACTGATTTTGGAGATTATATTTCCTAATTTGAGAAAGACAATGTCTTCTTACAACGTACTACTGAAGATACAACGGTTATGCAATTCCTCAACAACCATAGGTAGAAGTTATTAGTGTTATCTCTGTCATTAGTTTGGTGTTCTAAATATTTTTTTAGTTTTTAATTAAATTGTGATTTTGTAATTCAAACTATTGTTAGGTAATTCACTGTAATAATTGGCTATAGCTTCTTTTATTTCAAATAACGGAATGAATTATATTATATATATATATATATATATATATATATATTTCCTAAGGTGAAGAGAGAAGAGATGGGAAAAATGAGTAGACAACTGGTTTTTTTTCCCCGAAAGGACGACTTAAAGCACAAATATCGAACCAATTCATTTCAGATTTTACCTCCTCTCCTTGAGAAATACAAGGTGTATTAGATACTACTCCCTCCATCCCAAAAAAATTCAATTTCTGGGTTTCCGTGTCTAATGTTTGACCGTCCGTCTTATTTAAAAAAATATGAAAAAGTTTAAAAAGATAAGTCAAACATAAAGTATTATTCTTGTTTTATCATCTAATAATAATGAAAATACTAATAATAAAAAAATTCATATAAGACGGACGGTCAAACGTTAGACATGAAAACCCAGAAATTGAGTCTTTTTGGGACGGGGGGAGTATATAACTATTGATTTATCCTATAATACATAGTAAATTGTAATTTTCACCAAGTTAATTGTAACTTGTTTTACATTGTACAAGTATCAGATTTAGCATGTACTTTCACTTTACACCAGAGTACATTAAAATAAGTTTTACTTAACATCAGAGTACACCATAAAACCTATATAAATTTCATGAAATTTGAACAACATTTCATAAAATGTGGTCTAAATTGAAAAAGTTTGATAATGTTCGCTTAGATTCACAAGATTTTTCCTTCAATTATATGACACAATTTAGTGTAAAGTGAAACTTATTTTAATCTAGCATGTAGTAAAGTGAAAGTATGTAGTAAGGCCTCCTTTGATTCAAAAGAAAATCATAAGAATTTTGGGGGATTTCATTTATATATGATTTTTAGGTGAATCTTATGGAATCCTATGCTTTTTCTAATCCTATGTTTTTTTATTTCTGCAATTAGAATGGGCTCTAAACCTGATGTTAAATGAAACGAGATACCATAATATGTAATATATTATCAACAACTACAAAATTAATATATATAAAAATATTTTTAAATATAAATTCAGTGACACTACATACTACATAACACTAAATACATATATTTGTAAGTTTGGTTACTAGTTAAAACTTTTATTCGTTGACTCTGCAAAAAAGGACGCCATATATCTTCGAACGGTGCAGTACTGTACAAGAGAATTTATTTTGAACTTATCTATCAGTAATGTGATGTTGTCTATATCTATGGAGACAAAGGCGGTTTCAACTGCCGTACCATTCCAAGTTTCCAACACTTCTACAAAATTCGCCAATACACGTCGACTAATCACCGCATATGCTAATCCTAATCACTCAGATCAACGTTAACAATAATCACTCGGATTGCATGTACAAAGATTTATATTGACGTGCTCTCTTCGTTATGGTGCATGTAAGAGCATCTTCACTAGCTTCTTTAAATCGGATTCTATCTAATTTGGCTAGTCAAACTAGATGCTCACTTTAACAGACTCTCTATTGATCCTCTCTAAATTAACAATGGACCCACAACAACAGTATGTACTCTTCTTCCTCCCTCTCTCTCTCTCCCCTTTCTTCCTTCTCTTTTCTTCTTTTCCCCTTTCCTTCCTTCCCATCGACCACGCAGATGCCAACGGCGTGGGGAGGCAGGAGGTGGCGCAGGGAGTCCGCAAGCGACAGGGACATCAGCTTGGGAGGGGCGGCGACGAAGCTCAGGGTGGGGATGGCGACATCGGCTTGGGGGGAGCTCGGGATGGGGATGGCGACGGCGACTGGAGCGTGGATTTGCTCCTCGCCGGCCTCCCTTGCTCTCCCTCGCCGCCATGCCTTCCATCCCTCGCCATCGAGCCCTCCCTCCCTTGCCGTCGACGGCGCCCGGGAGGAGGCGGCGGCCGGCAAGGGGGAGGCGGCTGGAGGGGAGTTGGCGGCCGGATCGTAGGCGGCTGGAGAAGGAACTCGACGTCGATGGGGGAGAGGCGAATGAGATTGCAGCTACTAGCCATTGATGCTGTGTTTGGCCAGCCAAACTAGCTTGCTAGATTTGGCCACCTGAGCTGGTCATTTGGCCAGCGAGATGGCTTAGCCATCCAAATGGAGAGGCTGTTGGACCTCATTTTCTTGCTATGTTTGCTAATTTTTAGCTTGGAGAGTGGGATGGCTAACCTATTGGAGATGATCTAACTCTTAGTGACGTGAAAAAGAAACAACTTTAATACAGATCATTTGTAGTACTACCATTTAACTTTAAGTGACTAACATGTAAGTCTGAAAATCCTTATTCACGGGCGCCCGATGAAAGAGAAAAATATCGGGCACGCTCCCTCGCTCACGTCGCCTCCTCTCCCCGTCGATGCCGCCTCCTCTTCCACGAGCTCCCTCGCCCACGCTGCTTCCTCCCGCCTCCCCCCGCCAACCTCACCCGCGCTGCCTCCTCTCTCCCGTCAACCTCGCCCACGTCGCCTTCTCCGTCGGATCCTCCGCCGCTTTTCGTCTTCCTTGACGTTGACAGCGTCTTCGTCCCCGTGGTGGCGGCCGACGCGGAGGACGACGCACGAGCAGCGAAGCGGTGGTGGCGGCAGTGGTGGTGGAGGAGGCTCGTCGGCTCCCTCTTTCTCTCCTGGGAGCACTCCCTCCTCATCTCCGCCATCCTCCCCCTTCTCCTCCTCCAGATCCGGTGATGGGGGCCGTGGAGAAGACCGACGCGGGCAACCCTGTGTTCGTCGGAGAGGAGGAAGATGCAGTCTAGACCAGGTTCTGTGTTTTTTTTTGTGTATTTCAGCTAGTGTACTCGTGATGTTCTTTGTGTTTGGATCAAATGTTGCAATAGATATTTGGACAGTGTTCCATATTTCTATTTTTGACATACGGGTTTGTTGATGTTTCAATGGTTCAAAAGCAATGTTTCAGCTAATATACTCGTGATGTTTCTTTGTGGGTGGATCAAATGTTACAGTGGATTTTAAATAGTATTTAATATTTTCATCTCGATGTACACGGGGTTTGTTTAGATGTACATGGGGTTTAAGTGCTTCAATGGCTTAAATCGTTTTGTTACATACGTTGAACCAAATTGTTTCATTTAGCGATCTCACTATGTTTCACATTTTTTTAAGAATTGAATCATTCTTTCGCTAAGTGCTAAAACATTATTTTTATAAAGGGTGAAACAACGCCAGACTTTTTGGGAAAAATCGAGCGCCTGATTTGTAGGCACCTTCATGTAAGTCACACACGTGACAGATCCACGTATCAGTGATCAAGTCAGAGGACAATATTTGTTTTTACACATAGAGACTTATTTGCTTTTACGCACGATAACGGCTCAGAGTCGACTCTTAGCATTTATTAAAAAAATTATTATATGGAGCTAAAATGGTTATCTCAGCAATTATATATTGAATAATTTAGTGATATGTAAGTATTAACTAAAGAGTTCATATCAAACCATTTGTACATGTTAAATCATGCTTAGAAAATTCCAAAAATAAAAGAACTTCTAATCACACCCAAATGGCCAAATCCCACCATAAAATGAGAGAAATCAATTTCACACAGGAGCAGGAGGAGAGAGAAACCGCTACTAATAAATAGGAGTATAAAACAGAAGCCTCCTCGTTAAGCTTCGAATCCTCTTCCATTCCCTCCTTCCTCTCCTCTCCTCTCCAAGACCAAGAACCAGCAGGAGCAAGCAAGGAAGGCGCCGAATTCGATCGGAGCAGGCAGGACGGGTCCGGGATCCCGCGCCGCCATGGAGAAGTACGAGCTGCTCAAGGACATCGGGTCGGGCAACTTCGGTGTGGCGCGGCTGATGCGGAACAGGGAGACCAAGGAGCTCGTCGCCATGAAGTACATACCGCGTGGCCTCAAGGTGCGTGCGTGATTCGAAGCGAGCTAGGGTTTCTTCTTCTTAATTTCTCGTTTTCTTGGCTGGTTTTTAGCGGGGTTTGCGGGTGGTTTTTTGCAGATTGACGAGAATGTGGCGAGGGAGATCATAAACCACCGCTCGCTGCGGCACCCAAACATCATCCGGTTCAAGGAGGTGAGGCCGGCCGCGGAATTCGCGGGATTTCTGAGAAATTCGCGGTTCTTGCTCGGTATTTTTATTTTCTTTTTGAAAATTTAGTTCGTAATTTTGGGGGAATTTTGTTTTGTTTAGGTCGTGCTCACGCCTACCCACCTCGCGATCGTCATGGAGTACGCCGCCGGCGGCGAGCTGTTCGACCGGATCTGCAGCGCCGGGAGATTCAGCGAGGACGAGGTGATCATCTAATCTCCTCGAATTAGACGGGTCCCAAGTCTTTTCCCTCTTTTTTTTTGCCCCCTCAAAAATTCGTGAGGTTTGCGTGCTAATTTTAATTTTGTGTTTTCAAATTGGGGGACGTGTGGATTGCTACTGTTCTAGTCGAGGTATTTCTTCCAGCAACTAATTTGCGGCGTCAGCTACTGCCACTTCATGGTGAGGACATCAATAATTTGTTATTTTTCTGTTAATATAAAAAAAGCTTTAAGTATAAATTTTTCAAAATGTTAAGCTGATGAGGATTGCGTGTTTTGTTTGATCTCGCAGCAAATTTGCCACCGGGATTTGAAGCTGGAGAACACGCTGCTGGATGGCAGCCCTGCGCCGCGCCTCAAGATCTGCGACTTTGGCTACTCCAAGGTAACAATTTCTTCTCTCTCTTTTTTTTTAAAAAAAAGGAAGATTTTTATGTTCTTTCATACCGTGCATGTTTTTTGGTAGAAAGGTATACGGAAAGAAGCCTTCCTTGTTGAACTTGGCATGTTGGGAGGACAAAAATTTTGACACGAAACTGGGTCGCTATCCTCATTATCCTTATTAAACTCGTGCCGCTATTGAGAATCAAACTTTGCGCCCTTTTTTTTTCTCAGTCTTTTTTATCGGATGATGTTATCAAGCAATCCTTTAGTTTCTTCACGTACATAAAAGAGGGACATCACTCGAACTAACTGATGGCAAAAAGAACACTTAGACTTACGAAAATATCGTATTTATTGCTCTTTAATTTAGCTCTATAGTGGGTTACTTACGCGTACTAAGACCGTTCTTTTTGCGAATGTTTTTGTGGTCAGTCATCACTGCTGCACTCAAAGCCGAAGTCGACGGTCGGGACTCCCGCGTACATCGCTCCGGAGGTGCTCTCTCGCCGGGAGTATGACGGCAAGGTCAGTCTCAGTCATCTTGCTCCTCTAGCTTGCCTGTCTCTCCAGTTGTGTCCAGGGCAGCTGGAGACTTTGTGCTTAATCCTTTTCTTTTCTTTCCTTTTTTGGTGTGTGCTCAATCCTTGTGTTATCTTAAGGCACCTGAATTTTACACGCAAAATTTTAATATCCCAAGGTAACTAAGAAGTTTCACACTAGAAAATGTATTGTAATTTTTTAAGGATGGTGAAATTAACCTTGTGTGGGTCACCTATGCTTGTGCTAGCTTGCTGCAGTCCCTCCGGCCCCAACCCAAACGTAGTCTGAACTTTTCATGTGAATGCCAGGACTGGAGTTTTAGTATGTGAACCCAAACGTAGCAGACATATATGCCTTGTAGACCAGGCTCATGGTATCATGGGGGCACCTCTCTAATCAGTGGTTTTACATTCTTGGAATTTTGTTCTGAGGTCAAGTAGACAGGGAATGGACCTGACCCCAATTGCCAGTGTTTTTCTTTGTCCTTACCTCTGTGGGGTGGGGATTCCAGTTTTCCAAGCTCCAACTTCCAAGTGCTCCTCCAATTATTTGTGTTGACAATTTTGTCAAAGGAGCAAAGAGGGGGGAAGAGATATCCTACCGAAATGTTCCCGATGTTGTCGCTGGGACATTTTTCTTTTTACTACCTCCGTCCTAAAATAAGTGTAGTCGTGGGGATCCGTGTCCAACGTTTGACCGTTCGTCTTATTTGAAAAATTTATGAAAAAATTAAAAAAAAATAGTCACCCATAAAGTACTATTCATGTTTTATCATCTAATAACAATAAAAATACTAATCAAAAAAAATTTCAAATAAGACGAACGGTCAAACGTTGGACATGAATAGTGTAAAACTGTACTTATTTTGGAACGGATGGAGTAGTAATCACAGCATGCTTGATGGTGATCTCTGCCCCCTCCGGGTGCGTGCCTGCTTTAATTGTTCCCTTGATCTGGTTCACAGTTGGTATACATGGTGAAGTCTTGTCTCGCATGGTGTTGTTGATGTGATGATCCAAAAAGAAAGTTAGATTTGATAGATAAGAGCACCAGATTCTGTTGATGGAGATCTTGTTATCATGCTTAATGATCTGCTTGATAGTGAGGATTAATAAAAACAAAATCGCTGTGTGCTTTGTTGTGTGGTGAATCCTTGACCAGCAAACAGATAGGATTCATATTGCCTAAAAAAATTGTGGAGTTCCAAAAACAATAATGTAGTTATTTCTTCAGAGGTAGTACATAGAAAAAAAAAAGCATGAACAGATTTGAAATGGTTGCGCGTGATGATCTATGTATCGTGGGGAGGCCCCGTGGACATGTTCCATGAATCGAATTGTGTTCCCATTCATCATGCTTTATGTCCTTTTCTGGACCGTATTTCCATCATGTTGATGTGTACAATAGGGGCCCTCAGACCTGATCTTTTCATGTAGCCATCTTAGACTGAACATCTGGTTGGTAACCTGTGGTCCTTTGGGACTGTTTTTCTTCATCCTTTTTTTTGGGCGTTTCATTTTGCCATCTGTAGTTTGTCTGGTTAATATTGATGTTATTTGACCAATTGCTATTGCACTTTATTTCATACTTTTTTGGGATACCATGCCAAACTACCAATTGAATTTCTTTCTAGCATGCAAGATTGGTTGCCTTTGCTGGTAGAGGCTATCATAAAGCGGCACTGAGATTGGTTCATTTTTTTAAAAGTGACATTGAGATCAGTTAGGAGAATATATGGTTGTTTCTAGACGAACTGCCCAAATGTCCATAGGTCTCTGCCATATTTTCTATTTTCTTCGGCTGCTCCCAGAACTCCGCTATCCTCAAATTGTGTTCTTCACTTTATTTCATCTGTCAGTTGTACATATTTTTCTTTATTTTTGATTTCAAAGATAATGACCTTCATGAATACCTATTTGCATATTATCTTTTTAATTAAGTGAGTGTAACTGATGTTCTCAAGCCACCATGTTGTACTCACATGTGACCAACTCCTAATTGACTCTTGCTAGTTTCACTTAAATTCGTTGCTTCACATTTTCCTGAACAATAGACTTAAATTCGCTAGTTTCACTTACTGGATACTCTTTCAAAGAGCTCTGTCCTTGAACTGCTGGGACTTGGGATTCTTCTGCTCCTTTTTTCTGTCCACCAGGATTCTTGAGTTCTTGATCCGTTAATATAGTGCCTTCTGTTTTTTTTTTTTTTGACTACTCTCTAATTTCCTATGCTTTTTGAGGTTCATTCTTTCTTGAAATTATGCTTCTCTTGTTTTTGTAACACACTAACATTATTGTTTGCACTATGTGCAGATGGCAGATGTATGGTCTTGTGGGGTGACCCTTTATGTGATGCTCGTCGGTGCTTACCCTTTTGAGGACCCAGATGATCCCAAGAATTTCAGAAAAACAATCGGGGTAATAATTCACCCACTTCAGCCTCTCTAAATTCCAACTTCAAACGCCACACGAATGTACAAATATATTATGCTCACATTTTTATTTTGCAGAGAATCGTATCAATTCAGTACAAAATACCAGAGTACGTCCATATATCCCAAGATTGTAGACAACTCCTCTCTCGAATCTTTGTCGCGAATCCTGCAAAGGTGAACCTCGCGGAACTTCAATCCATGTTCCATTATGTTCCATTTAACATAATACCATTTCCACCATGTCATGCAGAGAATAACAATAAGAGAGATCAGAAACCACCCTTGGTTTATGAAGAACTTGCCGCGGGAGCTTACAGAAGCGGCGCAAGCGAAGTACTACAAGAAGGACAACAGTGCCCGTACATTCTCGGATCAGACCGTCGACGAGATCATGAAGATTGTACAAGAGGCAAAGACACCACCTCCATCGTCGACTCCAGTGGCCGGTTTCGGTTGGACCGAGGAAGAAGAGCAGGAGGACGGTAAGAATCCCGACGACGACGAGGGAGACAGGGATGAGGAGGAGGGCGAGGAAGGCGATAGCGAGGACGAGTACACCAAGCAGGTGAAGCAAGCCCATGCCAGCTGTGACTTGCAGAAGAGCTGATAAGATGTTGAGTTCAAGCTTTGCTGTTGCCGGCAAGAGGGTGTTTTTGTGCATGTTTGTACTTTGTGGTAGTTGTGGGGGTGATGAGATGTCGCATCCTTTTCGTTATTAGTTTGTCTTTGTAGCTTTTAACTTTCTGTTGTTGCCTTGGGTCTTCCTTTTCTTTTATCCTGTTCTTTTTTTTTATCTTGTGATATGTTAACACCGTAAATTATTACTACCAAATAGGCTCTCCAGTGCCTTTGTAATGGTTGGATGGTTAAGATAGCAAGGTTGTATATAGCTTGTGGAATAAACCTTATTTCTTGACAAGTGTTTATTTAGGGAGACAATATTTTTTCTTTTCACCAACGAGATAAGCAACACAAATGTGTATATATGCATGAGATCTGTTTAACCTCATTCCACGTATTGAAATAATTTTTTTGCCTCTGGACACATAGTTGAAATTGATCTAATAAAAACAAGAAGAAAATGGATATGTTTTCTAGATTATATTGTGCTTGCATGTTATTTTGGGAAAAAGAGTGTTATTTTTTTAGTGTTAGTTGGAGCGTAATCGCTACTCCCTCCATCTACTTTTAATAGTCATATTTCATCTTGACACACAGACCAAGGATAAGTAATTCTACTTATCATTCATTTAAACATGCTACTAATCATCCCTCATAAACAAGCGATTCATTAATATTTACATTTCTCAATATCCATGTAGCCAATCTTGTGTGGAAAAATGGAGAGTCATGCATTAAATCCGAGAAAGTAATTAAGATGATAGGTTGTTGAATTGAAATATGCCAATCAAAAATAAATTTTTCAGATTTGGAAATATGACAATCAAAAGTAGATGGAGGGAGTATAATGGAAGAGAACATCTTTAAAGAATAGTTTTCCTTTAATTTGACACTAATCAAATTAATTAGGTGCGACTGAGGTGTCTTAATTGATCTCATACGTAGAAACATAAGAATGGTTATGCGTTTACCAAATCCTCCTATATGTTGTCAAATGTGTTGGGTCTTTCTGTGTCCACCCAGGCACGCATGTGCAACTCACAGCCCAAGAACAACACATTTCATTTAGCTGTGGGTTGTGTTGGCATAGCCCATCTAGCCACGTTGTGCTTGGGTTGTTACCGGCCCAGCATGCCAACACGACAAGTGCATGTCGCGAGCAGGAGATAGGGGGAAATGAGAACTAAAGAATCGAGGAAGCTAGGGGATCAGGAAAGAGGAAGTAATGATGAACGCTCATTGGCGTAGGCCTGCATAGTAGCATTGTGGTGTGGCCAACCCTATTCACGAGCACAACCACTAAGCATGTCAGCAATTGGGAGCTCACCGGCTCGGGACGAAGGAAGTAGGAAGTGAAGGGCCATGGTGGTTCTTGATGAGGAAGAGGAATGTGCTATCGGTGAGCGGAGAGCCTCGCTAAAGCTTCATCGAAGTTTGTGCAGCAGGATGCAACAGACTATGTTCACATTTTTTTCTTGGTATATATCAAATTTGGGCTAACCAACCTCCACGTAGCCAACGTAACCTAATCGTGTGTCACGCCCGGAATTTCTATCCAAAATTCCAAACGCTTACATGTGTGTAAACCCTCGTCCAGGAATCAGCCGAGGCACACAATAACAAATTGATAATAGAGTACAATTATTACTCTAATTAATAAGCGAATAAAATGTCATTACAGAGGTAGATAGTTCCTCTCAAACAATAAAGATCTAAGCAGCGGAAAATAAGATAAACGGCGCAGACGGCTCCACTCCACAGGCAGCTTGACCAAGGCTACACCTAATCCTCCACACCATCAGCTTCACTGTAGAACTCTTCCTCTGATGAATGATTGCAAGGTGAGTATATGACATACTCAGCAAGCCACGCAGCAAATATGCAAGTGCACAGGATAACAAAGGATGGCATAGTAGGGTTGCATTCGCAAAAGCAGCATTTAGCAAACATTTGAGAATTTAGTAAAACAGTTAAGTATTAAACAATATTAATCCAACGCTATACAACATACCCTGTTGTATAGGCCCAACCATTCTGAACAACCATCCCGGCTGCACAGTTCTATCTCCAAACCAGGAATGTACCATTCCAAACCAGGAGCTAAACAAATTATTACCAATTATAGCATCATTTACTATGGTGAGAAGTGTGAGACTAATCACGAAAGACATTGTTAGACCCGCCCATAACCGCGGGCACGGCTATTCGAATAGTTTTACTCTGATCAGAGGTGTACTACTGTACCCACAAGACACAACCCCACATCATGTCACCATGTGCCTCAATACCACCACGGTACCTCGGAAAGGAGTTGTGACAATACCCCTTGCATAACACAATCCACTGCAGCGCACCTTCCTGGATCATAATCACCCCCTTATAAACAAGGCATGGACTCCCCAGCGACCCCCGTGGGCTTATCTCCGCCACTTCTCAGTCTGGTGCCCCGCAATGAACCATGCTATACAAAAGATAAAGCCGTTGCCCATGCTGGCTTGTGGTTGGCACGGTTAATGTTTCACAACCGAAACTCGTGAACCGGTCCTTAATTGTCATGAGCACGACCATCAAAACCATGTGCTCACAACCCACCATTACCAGGTTTTAGTTGGCACATGAATTAATTAACTAATCACGATTGACCATCGTGAACTATCATTAAGCCATCATTAAATAATAGTGAGTCATAAGTTATCCCAATAGTGTGCTAATGTTTCTAAGCAGGGCTAAGCAATTATATCTAATATCTAGTTGAACCAATATATAGAGCTCAACCAGTCAAGTTATAATAACCCAAGGTATCAAGGAATAAGGTAATCAAGAACAAAAGGGCCATAACAAACAATAGGTTAATTCCACCCAATGACATTCGAAAATAAATGCAATAGTTGAAAAGAAACAATAGCTTTAAACGGGATCAACATGCTCAAAGAGTTGTTTGGGATCTGTGTGACTTGCCTTGCTGGCCTTGGAACTCTTCAAACTCTTCTCCGGCGAAAACGGACTCTCCGGAAACGACGGAATCTAAGCAGAAAAGAGCAAAAGCACATAAACAAGCATGAACAGTACATGTGGATATTTTTAACATGTAGATCTCAATTTTAGAAAAATTTAGAGACTTGAACCAACTAAATCGGAGCTAAGATGAATTAGTTATGAATTTTTGAAGATTAAATCGGATTAAAACACTTAAATTGATTTTAATTGAATTATGACGCAATAATGAATTATTTTTGAAAAGGAAAAAGGGATTTATTGCGTCAGCGGGCTAGGGTTTGCGGTGGACCGGGCGCACGGCGGCGGTTCACGCGAACGGACGGCCGAGATCGACTTGATCCAAAACGGACGGCCGAGATCGATTGGTCCACGACCGGCTCACGGCGGACGGTCCCGATGACGTCAGCGGTGACGTCACCACCGGCGGCGGCGGCTCGGCGGCTCGGGCGCGCATGCTCGCCGGCGAACGGCGGCGCTTCGGCACGAACGGAGGGCACCAACGGGTAGAGCGCGACGCGGCGAACTCACCGGCGACCAAAGCGACGGCGGAAGACCAACGGACGGCGACGGCGACGAGGTTGAAACGGCGGCGGTCTTCGGCTTGACGACGGCGACGATGCTCCGGCGGTCTCCGACGGTGGCGAAGCGGCGGACGAGGACGGCGGCGACTTGGCGACCACGATGACGACCTTCCCGAGCGACGGCGACGACTGGAACGGCGGCGGCGCACGGCTGGAGCGACGGCGGCGACGGCGGCGCTAGGGCACACGGCGCTAGGGCGCTTCCGACGACGAGAGGCGAAGGCGAGGGTGGCGGCGGGTAGAGGAGACACCGGGGAGCCTTTTAAAGGGGCTAGGAGGCGGCGGCGAAGGCCCACGGCGGCCGGCGACGAGAAGGAAAGATCGGGGTTTGAAGGAAAGAGACCGATCTGATTCGAACTCGAATCAAACACATTCCAAACCGATTTAGCCGATGTTTCCAAAGGAGAAAAGGTAGAGGAGATCCCGAGGATCATTTCCCCTCTATCAATTCGGCCGGAGAAGGAAAGGAGCGGCCGGATTTGGAAGGGAACGGCGGCGGCGGCGCGCTAGGGTTCCGGGCGGCGGCCGACGCGAGGAAGACGACGACCTGACAGGCGGGCCCCACCTGTCAGCGGGCGGACGCGCGCGCGCGGCGGACTGGGCCGGCTGGGCCGAGGAGAGAGAGAAGAGAGGTTTTGGGCCGACTTTCGGCCCAAAGCCAAAAGAAGACTTTTAAAACCTTTTTCAATTTAAATTATTTCTTAAATGCAATTCCATTTTTTAAAAATACTTCCTTAGCTCAAATAAATCCCAGAAAAATCTAGGAATTATAGAATTAAGCAAAGTATTTAATGAAATTTTATCTGGCCCCATTTTATATTGGAATTTATTAATTAAAATTAGATCTTCTCTTCAAGACTTTTAAAAAATAAATTCTAAAAAATTCCATTTAAACAACAATTTATATATTTTGAATTTTCAGGGTGTGACATCGTGTCAGGCCAAATGACATAACTCAACATCTCACTAGGTCATGCCTGAGCTCCAACCTAAAGCATGTAGGCCAACAGGGCACGGTCTGTTTGATGAGCCATGCCTAATCGAGCAGTATCCAACCGTACCTATTATATTTACCTATCATATCAACCCTATAAAAATTAAAATAAAAAGCCACGCCTCATAAGAGCCAGTCAAGACTCCAGAGGCTTCATTTGAAAATTTGGGATTAGGACTGATGGACACTCTTTTTTTTTTTTTTGGGACTGTCTATAGATCATTTGATAGAAAACCCCCTTAGAAATCTTGCAAATTTTAGACCATCCGATTGCTTTAAGATTCGTGCAGGCAACCAAACCCTAAAACATCACCTCATCTCCCGATTCCTCCTCACATCGCCACTCTCCCTAGCGCGAGCGCGCCGCCTCCACCGCCGCCCCAGCGTGCCGCTGTCCGGCCTCGCCAGCTGGCCGGAAGGTGTGAACGGCGCCGACGAGGCCCACCCCCCCGGGCCGGCCTCCTCCCACTCCCCCTCCCCCCTCACCTCCCTCCTCAAGCCATAGAAGGTGAGATAGATGCTCCCGCCCTGCCGTCTTCCTCGTCTCCGGTGACTCTTCGCCGCCGGATCCGCTACCGTTGGCCACCACAAGATACAAGCTCGCTATGCCCCCCGCCACCAACACCGGCCACCACCCTCCTCTATCCCCACGGCTCCGCCACCGGCGCCGACGCTCGCCGCCCACCCGTTCTGCCGCCCACCGCCGGGCCGCCGCCTCCCACGACCATCCCTCTAAGCCCGGCGAACTCCCCCTTCTTCCCCTCCCCCTCCCACCCCATCTCACCCCAGGACCCTAATTCGTCGGAGATTGGGTTGTCGCCGGCACCAGACAAGAAGAGGAGTTCGTCGGAGTTGGATAAGAAGCAGCTGGAGCACGAATCGTGAAGCATATCTAGTGAAGCAAAATTTGCAAGATTTGGAGGTAGGTTTTCTGTCGATTGAAGTTTAGCAATTCCGTTATTTTTATTTTTCATATTTTCACCGTTTGGGTAGAGTGGTGGTGGGGTGTGCAAGCAATCCGGGTGGATTGAGTGCTAGGCGAAATTACTACGTTACCCTCGCCATTTCGACGCCTCTGTCGTGCTTGCGTGACAGCGTGAGTGGAGTAATCCTGACAGAGGCCTCCTCGTCAGTTTGCCCTTGCCCACCGCTGCCGCCTCCGGCTCCGGCTCCGGCGATCCCCATCCATCCCGCCGAGCGAGCAGGGGGCGCCGTCGTTCGTCCAGCTGCTTCCGCCGCATCCATCCTGGTGAGCACGTCCTCCGCCACCGCCGCCTGCGCCGATCCCCATCCGTCGCACCAGCCAGCGAGCGAGCGAGCAGGGTCGCCGTCGCTCGTCCCACTGCTTCCGCCGCATCCGTTACGCTTACGCTCCCATCTCTCTCTCTACCCACGCACTTTTGTTTTCTCGAATTTGCGTTAACCCTAACTTCTGTTCTAGAAATTTTGCCTTAACCTTAATACTACTAACAGTTTGATGGTTTCCCAAAAACTGAACCCCCCATGTCCTATGTTAGATCCGCCACTATGTCCGTTAGGAAGGTGCTGCATTTCTTTATTTTATTTCTATCTATGTGAGGGTTTGGGATTTTTTCGGTTGATATATAGGAATGATGATAGGTGTGTCGTTGTTACACTTGCCTTATGATGTGGCTTTGACACATTGATCCCAATTATCTCGGGGTTTTGCAGTGATGGTGAACACTGACGGTGAAGGTGGCTGTGAAGGCGGGGGTGGAGATCCGATGTGTGTTGACGATAATGCTATCGTCGCAGTTGAGACGGGCGTTGGTGTAGATCAAGGAATTGGGTCGCAGCATGACGATGCTGGTGGCGACAGGGTCATGGAAGGACAAGGGGCGGTTACTAACTCTGGTGATGAAATGGGGATGAGGGCGTATGGTGATGAAGCCGAGACTGAAGAGGCAGCAACGGTTCATGGCAGCAAGGAGGGCACCGAGGAACTACTCCGCAAGGTAGTGTACAGCGAGGAGGCGGCGTACAAGCTGTACTGTGACTATGGGCACCGCATGGGGTTCAGTATCCGAAAGGGGAAGCAGTCCTACTTTACTGGCACGAAAAGGATCAGGACCAAGGATTACTTCTGCTCCAAGGAGGGCCTGAAGGAAGGGGAGAGGCTTACTGATGCAAACTTCAATGACCCACATACTAGGACGAATTGCAAGGCCATGGTTCGCTTCAGAGTGAATAACCACGGGGAGTGGAAGGTTATCCGGCTGGTCTCTGATCACAACCACAACTTGGCAAGACCTGAAGAACGACATCTTTTACGGTCTGCAAGATCACTTATAGCAGGGAGGTCAAGTTCTGTAGAGACGTCAAAGCAAGATTCACTCTCATGCTACATTAGTATGGCAAGGACACTTGCCATAGGGAATGCAGATTTGCAGAACCTTGTAAGACACCTTAAGAGCAGGGCAAATGAAGATGGTATGTTCTATTGGGATGTTCAAATAGACCGAGGCGGTCGGATGACTAATTTTTTCTGGCGTGATGGCAGGAGCAGGATTGACTTTGACTGTTTTGGTGATGTTGTTGTGTTTGATGCAACTTATCGCTTAAACAAACATAATTTGATATGTGCTCCGTTTGTTGGTGTGAACCACCATTGGCAGAACACCATGTATGGCTGTGCTCTATTAGCTGACGAGTCTATGTCATCTTTTGTGTGGCTATTTAAATCTTTCTTGGAGGCAATGGGCAATCGGCATCCTCGCTCTATTTTTACCAATCAAGATCAAGTTATGTCAAAGGCAATTGAGGAAGTATTTCCAAATACATGCCATCGCATCTCTCGCTGGCACATACAAAAGAATGCTGCTTCTCGTCTTGGTACACTTAATGGTTCCAAAGCATTTAATAAGCTGTTCACCAAGTGTATGCAGGGATGTGACTCAGAAGCTGAGTTTGAGGAAACATGGGCTGGGATGCTCAGAGAGTTTAAGTTGGAGGATAACAAATGGCTTAAGAAACTTTATAAACTCAAGCAGAAGTGGTGTGGTGCTCTCAACAAACACACTTTTGATGGTGGGGTTGAATATGAGCCACAATGTGACAGTCTGAGTAACATCTTTAACTGCATTGCCGAGAAATTTACCTCTCCGTCTACAATTGTTGTTGTTGTGGACAAGTTGACTGAAGATTGGCGTGAAAAAGAGATCGATGAAGACACGCGGTGCAGCCAAAAGCCTCCTGCTTGTATTATAAAGCACAGTGATATTTTGAATCATGCAGCAAAAGTTTATACATACAGAATCTACAAGTTGTTTGAGACGTATTTTCTTGATGGATGTGGAGCCACAAAATTCAAGGAGCTTCATTGCGAAGACAATAACAGATATCAATTTGAGATGACAATGCAAGGGCGAGGATCAAGAGTCTGCACAGTTCATTTTGATATGATGACAATGCAACTCAATTGCAGCTGTAGTAAGTTTGAAACAATGGGTTTGCTTTGTCCACATGCTCTTAAAGCTCTTAGCATCAAGAATGTGTGCAGTATTCCAGAAACCTATATACTGAAGAGGTGGACCAAAGGTGCTAAGAAGTGTGTTTTTAATCCAAAGCAATATGAATCATCCTATCAAGAATGTATGGATGATGAAGCTGCATACTGCAGCCATGTTATGCGCTATGCTTATGACCTTGTTACAAAAAGTCAAGGAAACGAGGAATTGAGGAAATCACTTTGGGAGACTCTTGAGAGTGGAGAAAAGGAATTGGAAAAATATCTAGAAAATGTTACCCAGTATGCACTTTCCTATGCCACTTGAAAGAAGCATCGACTAACCTTTTAGACTTACTGCTGACAATGAGAAAGATGTACTTCTGGGTTCTTTAGAAGATGTGCCCGAGTTTCCACCGACTCAGACTCAAACTGTACTCTAAGAAATGAAAATATAAACTTTTGAAACAAGGTACAAGTTTGTGTAAGTCGTTATTCTTTAAGCTTCTCTCATCTTTGTGAATACCCATGAATCCATGTTTATTAAATTGATACACAATTCAGTGGTGTTTTTAGGAATATATTGATGGTAGCCGGTTGGAACTGGGCAACTGGCCAGTTTGTGTTAGTTAGTTTAGATTGGTAATAAGGCAAGTGTAGTATGAACATAAGTTAGTTTAGATTGGTTTATTTTGTGTTGAATGACGTTTCTGAAGTCTGAACACCTCTTATGACAAGAACCAGTGTGCCAAACTATGTAGGATTGTGTAGCTAATGGACATGGTGTTGTGGCAAGCGCTAAGTCCTACTACCTCTGTCCCTAAAAGAGTGTCTTTTGACCACTGTCCAAGTTCATAGCTCAAAAGACACTCTTTAGGGATGGATGTAGTAATTCAGTGCCATAGTTCTGATCAGTAGGAAGACCGAAGACCCTTCTGTGGGCTGTGGCGTTCTAATAAGCGTGGCTTCATACTGTGATAATAGAAATAGGTACAATATAGATTATGTATGTTCCCTATCTGAATATTTTGCATGTGTAGCAGTTTCCTCCCTGTGTACTTGTGATTATGCATTATGATCGATAGCATGCTACTTGCATCTTTTAGATGTCAGTTGGTGCAAGTTCTTTAGTGCTTTTGTTTGGGAAAAAAGAAAGTTGAAATCCACAGAAAATTAATGTAATGATTCTAATGCTTGCATCAACCATGGCATGAACAACTGCTATAATACGAGGGATGAATAAGCTAATTTCTTGTTTTTGTCCTCTATATGATTGTATTTTTTTCTGCCCATCTGCTGGCACCTGTTCCATCAATTGATTGCTGAAAAAAAGACAATTATATTTCTTTTTCCTCAATAAAGTGGGTACTGTTCAAACATTCTGTGTCACTCCTACAGAGACACCACTATGTGTGCTCTCATTGTGGTGGGTCATGTCATTGAGCTCTCCCTCTGCCCAGATAGCATATGCCTCCTCACCGTGTACAGCATCATCTCCAATAAGCAGTTCTTGATCAGCTATACGGAGGGGCAGGATTAGGCTGATGATGACACAGATGATGGAGGTGATAACAATATTCCAGGCAGTGACAAATAGTGCGCCAGCAATCTGCTTCCCGAACTGTGATCCACCGGGGCCACCGTAGAATGCACCTTTAGAATCTGGGATAGATAGGAAGAGACTGCATAGGATGGGCTCGGCGAAGAGTCCAGTGGTGGCGCCACCAAGGAACCCAGCCACCGCATGGGTGTGGAAGACACCAAGCGTGTCATCAATCCTCTGCATGAATGACCATTTCTTGTGCAGCACCATCATGGTGTACCATGGAATGCTACCAGAGAGAATTCCCATCACAATAGCTGCCCAACCTTGCACCAGGCCTGTTCATGAATCAGGACACATCTAGTTAGTCTTTGCTGAACAATTAAAATGGCAAAATAACCACATATTTACATACTTTCACACCTAGCATGAAAATTGTTGAACTCCACATTGTTTTTTTTTTCTGTCTCGTATCTTTACTTCTTCTGTTTTGTTTATTGTTATGATACTCAGGGGAACAAATCTAAAATGGTGACATGGAATGTTATTGTTTCCTATGTGTTTGTGCATGCTAGCACACATTTTGTGGGTGGATAGGTTTGAATATTGAACCTGTAAAATTTCAAAAGTGTGCCTGGTCCAGAGAATAAAAGAAACGAGCTTGTACATAACAATTAACTCAATTTAATTACTAGAAGGCATTATTCCTCTATGTTGAAACCAATCAGGAAAGTTGCTAGCTTCCTAAGGCAATTTGGTAGAAAACCCAAGGTCAGCATCATGTTCAGTCAGTCATGGTTGATAATTATCCTTGCATAAGATAGAAAGTGACACATAAATTTTCTAAGCCAAGGAGAGCCAAAACAAAATTAGTCGAACTTGGGACAAAACAGAGGCTTTCTTACACAATGGATCAAGTTAGTTTAGCATTTATGAAAGCAAAATAGTAGTTTGTGAACAGCAGCTGAATCCATTTCTCATAAAATAATCAATCAGTAGTGCTAAATGGATGGATTCTGACTGGCACATGTTTTAAAAACCTGGGTCAATAGATGCCCTTTGCTGGTAACTTAGTAGCAAGAGTGTCGCATCAGAGAAAACAAGATTACAATATACACTAATAAAATTAGCTGTGTTCCTTAAGGCCATTGATGCTGTAGTAAGCACCAGCACTGGAATTAAAAAAAAAGCATTTCTTTTCCTTTTCAATGCAAACAATACTGTGCAGGTTATAGAAGATGCTGGTATTGGATTCTTGGTATTGACTTCGTCAGATGCAGACCTGATTGGCTGAAGGTACTATTGCTTGTTTTTCTTTAGTTTGAGACTTTTCAATTGATTCCTATGGTGACAAGGTACTGATGCAAATTGCAATATTTTAAGGGGTTGGTCTTAGCTGAGCTAGTCCACCTGCTAATGGAGGAAGGGGAGGCTTCTCACCTGCACCAGGGGTGATGCATACCAGGCCAGTGATCATGCCCTGCACCGCGCCAATTACCGATGGCTTCCCGAAGAAGAAGACATCCAGGATTGTCCACACGAGTAGGCTGGTGGATGCGCAGATATGTGTGTTGAGCACTGCCATGGATGAATCAATATTGGCTGAATATGGGTCTCCTCCATTGAAACCTGTCCACCCAAGCCACAGCAGCCCCGCCCCTGCTAGCACCAGCAGTATGTTGTTGGGCGGGAATCTCTCCCTATCTGATGCTGACCTTGGTCCAACCTGCATGGTGCGAGATGTCAGAAATCATAGATGCAGAAGTGGCATGGTGAATTTAACCAGAGAGAGATCTTTGCCGTACCCAGTAGGCAGCAGTGAGGCCTGCGATGCCAGAAGAGAGATGGATGACATAGCCACCAGAGTAGTCTATGACACCCCACTGGAAGAGGAAACCGCCACCCCAGAGCGAGAAGGCGCAGACCGTGTAAGAGAAGGTGATCCAGAGCGGCACAAAGGCCATCCACGCCTTGATGTTCATGCGCCCAAGCAGTGAGCCTGCGAGGATGATGATGGTGATGCTCGCAAACATGCACTGGAAGTACACCATGGTGGCGACTGGGTACAACGGCTTGAGCATGGGCGCCTCAGCTGACCCATTGTGGTAGCGAATAGCGGTAGCAGTGAGCTCAGACTGCGCCACGAGGAAGCTCTGCCCGAGCGCTGGCCGTGCCTTACCCCAGAATGGCAGGAGGCGGTCGCCGAACGACATGTTGTATGCCCAGACAACCCAGCAGATCCAGACAGCAGCGAAGGCATACAGCGCCATGAACGCCGAGTTGATAGCCCACTTCTTCTTGACAATGCTGCCGTACAGGATCACCAGCCCTGGCATGCTCTGCAGGCCGACGAGGGTCGCCGATGTCATCTGCCATGCGTTGTCGCCCTTGTTCAGCCAGTCTGGCGATGACGGAGTGGTCTGGTACGCCATTGGAATCGCTCCAGCCGCCATGGTCAGAACTCAGAACCTGGAAGAGCTGGCAGGAGAAGAGGGGAAGAATCTCTCTACTGATCACTCAATGAACTGGGTTGGGTGTATATATGCCTCGATCCCCGACTACAAACAAGTAAGCTGTCTCAACTCTCAAAACGACCTTAAACTCTGGAGTTGGGCATGATGCAAGTATATATTCCTATTGGTACTAACTGGCTTGTACTTGCACGAGTATAATATTTTGAAAGTTTTGCTTCGTGCAGTGCTGTGATCTTACTACTTAACTGCAATTCTGTTTTGATAATTAAGCTTACCCATATGAATCGCAAGGTCATGCTACTTCACATCATTGTCAAGGCATGAAGTAATCAATCCTCTGGAGTAGTCGCCTGACACAGCACACCAAGTTCAGTAAAAAGTTGCAAATATACTTTAAGTACTGCTCCCTCCGTCCCAATATAAATACACCTAGTATAGTATGTGACATATCCTAGGACTACGAATATGAACAGACAACTGTCCAGATTTGTAGTCCTAGGATATATCACATCCTGTCCTAAATGCACTTATATTGGGACGGAGGGAGTACTAGTGCTCTCTGCCTTATGTGACTTGGAACTAAATAAGATCTGGCCACTTGGCATGGAGTCATGAGCAATAGTACAGGACAAAGTATTGTAGAGAAAAACAGTAAAGAACTGATATTGGTATATTTTCCTTTGTCAATATCTTTTCCTTTTCTCCTTTCAGGGGTGGCCGAATGCGTGGACTAAACCGCATACTGAAACAATAATACAAAGAGAAGAAAGCAACATTCAGAAAGGTACTTGGTTGACCTAGAAGAGCTGCATTTCCAGTCTTGAACGGCTCGCGAAAAGGACATCACCTCACGAGGAAGAATAACTGAACAAAAGCAGCTGAGTATCTTTCCCTTCACTCTCTTTCACGACCCCTTCAATGAACTGTAAGAATCATCAAATCAACTCCGAGATATAGATGGAATTATTCTACGCTTTGATACTTTCACCGTCCATTCGTTCAAGAAAGTTTAAAGATGTAACAGTTTGGCATGCATGTTGTTCCTCTCCTATTGGAGATTCGCACTACTTTTCTAATGAGGCGAGGCTGTTTGGTACTGTTTTTTTTAAGGGACTTTGGTGATACTAAATGCATTTCTGTCAGTGGCCGATCGAGACAGAAGGGGTTGCTGTTGACTTGTTTTGTTTGTGTGCTGTGTAGTACTTATACCAGCTAGAAACCCATTTACCACCCATAAACTAGCACATTGTAATGATCCTTGGGAATGGATGAAAAGTATTGAAGCCTAGGACATGTTGCATGCATTCCCAAGTGATGCCCATGCTTCCCCTGGCTGGACAACCAAAAGAATCATGATATTGGAAGAATGAAGGGGGCAGCTTCCAGTGTCCCCTGATATGCATTTCTTCCCTGGGTAGAACCTTTGGCGAACTAGAGAGCTGTAATGTTCGACTGCATCCAACTTTCTTTATTTACGCACATGTGGCATATTTCAATAGAGAGTTTCTGGATTTATAATAATAAAGCTGAAAAATAGTACTCCCTCTGGTTGGCTTTCAATGATCGATGTTGTTGACTTTTAGACACACTTTTGATCACTCGTCTTATTTAAAAAAATATATAATTATCATTTTTATTTTATTTCTTTTATCATTAAAGGTACTTTAAATATTATTTATATTAATTTTTTATGTGTATAAATTTTTTTAATAAGGCAAATTGTCGAATATATACCCTAAAGTCAATGGTGTCAAATATTAAAACCTAGTGAGTATATATTAAAGTTTTTCTAAGCAATTTTAATGTAGAATTTTTTTTCCTTCTGAGAAATAGAGGCATAATCCATACCCCGTAAACTGGTCGGAAAGCCACAATTGTATATTTTCATTCTAGAAACTAAGCGGGATATTATCTGTAAAAATAAGTCCAAGTGGAGTATCATATACGGTTGAAGACGTTAAGTGACCTGGTTTTGAACAAGTGGCGAGAGAGAGCTCGGCTGTTCGGAATCTTGTGTGCATTGCATTTGCATCGCGAGTCGTCGATGCCCAGTGGAGACGCAAGAATCTTCGTCGTCGGCGTCCGCCTTCTTCGACTGCTGCACTTGAATGCGGCTGCATTACCGTTTCGTCTTTTTCCGTTGACGCACTGTGCTTTCGATTGTGACTAGTTAACTTTTCTGGGCTTCGTGAAAAAAAAAATTTAGGAGTTACATAGGATATTTGACCGGGTGTCGGAAGAGATTTTCGGATACGAATGAAAAACTAATTTCATAACTCGTCTGGAAACCGCGAATCTTTTGAGCCTAATTAAGTCGTCATTAGCACATATGGGTTATTGTAGCACTTATAGCTAATCATAGACTAATTAAAAGATTTGTCTCGTGATTTTCATACAAACTGTGTAATTAGTTTTTGTTTTTATCTATATTTAGTGCTTCATGGATATGTCAAAGATTCGATGTTACCTTTTTAGGAAAAAAAATTGGAACTAAACCAGGCCTTAAAACATGCTTTCGTTTTCAAAGCCTATGACTTCACATGGATACTAGGTGCTACTCGTAATAAAAAATCAAGGTATTTGCTAGAATTCGGACAGATTGAAAAATATTATGTACAGTCAGCCGTGCTTTCAACGTAACATTAGTGAAATTAAAGATGTGATGTTGATTTTCATCTCTTAGAAAGTGTTAGGGAAGCACATTCGGGGGGTGTAAATATGGTGTTACATGTGTATGGTTATTGAGGGCTAAGTTACGACTAAGTTCCTAATTTAAAAATACCATTCTTAAAAAAATAAGTGTAGGTGCTTTGTTACTCGAAACGAAAAAAAAAACACAAAGAACAAGAGGAGGTGCTTTGTTTTGGGCCTTTTTGGGCTGAGAGTGAATGGGCGGCGCGTGGCCGAGGCCGGAGGTGGGCCGAGCACGGACAGCCCAACACAGCTCCAAAAATCCACTGGGCGTTAACTCTCTCTCTCTCTCCCTCTCGCTTTCCCCCGCCGCGCGGCCGCTAAAACCCTAGCCACCACCCCCGCCGCCGGCGAGCGACGCGAACGGCGAACGCCATGGACCACCACCAGCGGTGGCACCCCACGGTGAACGAGCGCGAGTTCATCGAGCGCGCCCTCCAGTCCGACCTCCGCGTCGACGGCCGCCGCCCCTTCGACTTCCGCCGCCTCAAGATCCTCTTCGGCAGGTCGCCTTCCTTGCGTCCCCCTCCTCCTCCTCCTTCCATGGCGTTTCGCTGGGGGTTTCGTTTCTCTGAAGCTCCTGGAGTGTGTGTGTGCGTGTGCAGGGAGGACGGCTCGGCGGAGGTGCAGCTCGGGGACACGCGCGTCATGGGCTACGCCACGGCGCAGCTGGTGCAGCCGTACAAGGACAGGCCCAACGAGGGGACGCTCGCGATATTCACCGAGTTCTCGCCCATGGCCGACCCCGCCTTCGAGCCGGGGCGGCCAGGGGAGTCGGCGATCGAGCTCGGTCGCGTCGTCGATCGCGGCCTAAGGTGGTCTCCCCCCTGAGATTGCTGTTTGGTATATTTTGCCGAAGAGCTCAGTGAGCGTGTAGTCTGATGAGCACCTTTTTGGTGATTCTCAGGGAGAGCCGAGCCGTCGATATGGAGTCCCTGTGTGTTGTTGCTGGGAAGCATGTTTGGTCGGTGCGCGTCGACCTTCATATCTTGGATAATGGAGGGTATGAGATATACGTTGCCTTGTGACATGACTGATTTGTGATGTTTCTGGCTAAGAGAGCTAAATGTGCCCGATGCAATGGTTTTATCCCTCAGGAATCTCATTGATGCAGCTAACATTGCCGCGCTGGCAGCTCTGTCTACTTTCCGGAGGCCTGAATGTACGGTCGGAGGGGAAGATGGTCAACAGGTTACAGTACATGACCCTGAGGTAAGCTAGTATTGTCTTGCAAACGTATTTCCCAGAGTTCAAAGTTCAATGATAAGGAATGACATTTCCTATTATGTTTCATCGATGTCAGGAGTAGTTAATTTGGGCATCTGTAGCTTCTTGTAGTGTGTAACTGAAACATGATTTCCTAGTTCAAAGTTCACCAATAAGGAATGGCATTTCCTAGTTTGTTTCAGCACTCATCAGTGTAAGCGGGACTAGCTACTTTATATGGTGTCTGTAGCTTCTTGTAGTGTTGTTGAAACATATCCTCGTTAAAATGTCATATGCTACTATGCTAGTTACTTTGTTTGCGCTTACACATAAGTTATCTTATGCCCTATTTGATCTATTGAATAGTTTTAAGTATTTTACAGGTAAGGGACCCACTCCCTTTGACAATTCATCATCTCCCTATTGCTGTGACATTTGCATATTTTGGCGAGGGCAACATCATGGTATGTTCCAATATATTTCTAAAAATGCCAGGGTGTATTATTGATGTCCATCATGTTCTGGTCTTTTTATCCACAACTTTTTAATTGAATTTCATGTTTAGGTTATTGATCCGACATATAAGGAAGAAGCTGTTATGGGAGGACGAATGACTGCTACAATTAACTCAAACGGTGATGTATGTTCCATCCAGAAAGCTGGTGGAGAGGGTGTCATGTCAAGTGTTATCATGCAGTGTTTAAGAATTGCTTCAGTTAAAGCTGCTGATATAACAAGCAAAATAAAGAATGAGGTCTGTGAGGAAACATACGATGTTGCAATTTATATGCCTGCTTTGATGTTCTATGAACTGTGAAAATACTTGGCTTCTCACCATCCATTGTATTTCATTGATTTGGGTTTGCATTTCATCCTAAGCATCTCTTTGTTCAGGTTAACTCATACACCTCTGCGAAGGCACTGCAGAAAGTAAAGCGTTTGCCAGCCTCAGCACTGAAAAAGGATAATGCTCCTGATGTGGCTATGAAGGAAAGTTCTGATGGTGCATTGGAAACTCAAAGTACAAAACCATCCAGCGATGGTCAGCAGATAAACAAAGGTGATGATGAGGATCATCGAAATATAAAACGGAATTCATCCTTGACTGTGGACAGAACTGCTAAACAAAAACAAACATCCAAATTCATTGGTGGTCCATCAAATTGGTAGTTATTGGAGCATTGTACTTGTTTGTAAATCTACATTGAAGTTTTGCCAACCTGTTCTGATTTTCTTGCAATGTAGGGATCCATACTCTAAAGGAGTTTCATTAAGCTCCCTCAGAATTTCTCAATTGCCTGGTACTGTTAATATTGTTTACCTGTTATTCTATTTCTGATTATGATAGCCAGTGCATGAGCATGTGTTAAACATGTATGAATTTCCCCATATCTCTATAATGTTTCTACCTTAGAGCATCATAGTACAGAGAGTTCAGGTTTTGGCTGAGTGAAGCTATAATCTATATGGCATTACAATATTTTAGATGGGACAATAGATATTCTTCCTCCTGCCAGTCCTCCAATATCAAGCTATCAACTAGTCATGTCTGATATAAAGTACAGATTGCTTTTTATCTGTGATAAATTTAGGGAGAACTTCTGTTATCTTAGATGGGACACAAATGATTCTTAAATATCATTATGCATGCCCATCCTTCTGATAATTTATCTTGCAATATCAATATGCGGACATCTGATAAGTTACATTGCAATATGCAGAACCACCATCTGTGGTTGAGGACAACAAGCAGGAGGATGTTGAACCAATGTTATCTGAATGTAATCCTGAGCCGCAAAGTGAATCAAGGTTGACTGCTGGAGGGTCAGATGAGACGCAGGAAGCTATATCGCCAAAGAGTCTAAAAGACGCTGTCAAGCCAAAACACAAAATAAAGAAAAAACAACACAGCAAGAGTTAAATTTCATGTAACTTATAGGCCTGTCAGGTAAGAGTTTTTAGTTGTTCCTGCTTTGTATAAATACCTTCTTTTTAACATATTGGTACTGACTATTTTTATTTCATCTAATTGCAGCAGTGTTAGATAGCGCAATGTTTGTGGGCATGGTTGGCAAAATTCCGTTGTTCTCTTGATGGTGTACATGCTAGATTATACAGCACGATGTATTTTCATGAGATTCAAATCAACGTGGAAGGTTTCTATCATTTTTAGTTCCTCTATTTTTTTGTGGAAGCCTTCACTACCACCATTTGTTATGATGTTGATTGTTTCTGCAGTCAATGTCTGAACATCTCTGTAACACCTAGCCAAGCTTTCCTGACTGAAAAGATCCCTTCACCATAGCACCATGAGTTGAGTTTCTTCTTCTGATGTTTTGTGTAATTGTGCGCCTTCGTTGTGACGAATGCTAGCCGCAAAAATTGAAAAGTTTTGTACAAGCTGTAGAACGCCCATTTTCCAGAAATGGATCCTAGTTAATTTTCAAGGCAAATTCTACCATTTGTCTTTGCAGGCTATCGCAACATTATATCATTGCCCATACGTCAATACTTTGTCAGAAAAACTTCAGCTTCGGTCTTTGTTTGGATGGTGCTGCGTTGAATAGGGAGGATTGGGAACCTTCCCTCCGGGCCGTGAAATGAAGAGATGGTTTAGTGTCCGATTAATTAAGTATTATAATAAAAACTTGAAAAATAAATTAATATGATTTTTGAAGTAATTTTTTTATAGAAAAAAATTGAAAAAAAACACAGCCTAGCCCATACGGATATGGTTGTGCCAGCAATTTGCCTTGGACCCTTGGTGCAATTCGGTTTATAAAACAAGCTCTGAAATACTCCAAGTCTATATTTTTTTTTTGAGATACTCCCTCTGTCCAAGTCTATACTCTCTCTGTTTCTAAATATTTGACACCGTTGACTTTTTAGCATATGTTTGACTGTTCATCTTATTCAAAAACTTTTGTGAAATATGTAAAACTATACGTATACATAAAAGTATATTTAACAATAAATCAAATGATAGGAAAAGAATTAATAATTACTTAAATTTTTTGAATAAGACAAACAGTCAAACATATTTAAAAAAGTCAACAGCGTCAAATATTTAAAAACGGAGGGAGTATTATTTTACGCAGTATTCAGGAAGATATTTTAACCATTAATATATTTCATGATATGTTTTCAACGAATATATGAAATTAGCATCACTTGATATAGTACTTTAAAATATGAAACTAATGATATAACATTCATAATGTATATCAAGTATGATTATTAGTTAAAAGTTACCGAGTTTACTTTTTCTTAAAAAGAGGATGGTCTATAATTTGATTCGGAGGGAGTAAAGAAGGGCAATTCGGCTTTGTAGAACAAGCTCTGATATGGGGAAGGATCATGTGAAAGATACGTTATAATCGAACATAAGTGCATCTTATAAATTTATATTGACTTTAAAGTGTAGGGACTCCACATTCTAAGCATGCTCCATTTCTTATGGACAAATATCCGCTTTATTTCACCGTCAAGGTTCCCTTCTCAGATCTGCTTATCTGGCCTTGACTTGAAGCCACCAACCCACGTGCTTGTTTGTTTGGTGTGAGAGATTTGCCAACATGAGGAGTATATCTCTCATATTTTTTTTACACGTTGCAATGACGTAGCTGTTCATTTGCAATAACTCTCTTCAACCAGAGAGTTAGCATTAATTATGTTTTGCACAGGCTTGAAAGCAACCGAGTATCAGCAGAGGGATGGGGTGGTGGCCCACCTGCCAGCTGCAGCACATGGCCTCTGACAGGTTAGCCCCAGCCTCCTCATCCATGGCAGCTGCAGTGATCGGATCAGATGAGATGGGATGAGAGAGATTCGCTGTGGCTAGAGAGCGAGTCGGTGTGTGTCTGAAAATGGGGAAGGGGAAGGCTGCCGCCGTTGGCAGGTCGCTGTGCCGGGCCAGTGCTCACCTGTGCTTTGCAGTTGCACTCCAGTAAAAAATATTCCATCCGTTCTAAAATCTAAAATATAGCTATATAATATATATATGTTTAAAATATACCAATATATGTGAGCTTCAATAAAAAAATTGTTTAAAGTATATACCAATATGAGTATTACGGATCTTTTCTTATTCTCCTGGATTTTTTGTTTGCTATTAAAAAAAATCCTTGAATTCTAAAGATGTGTTTTGTATAAAACTTTTCTATATAAAAACTTTATAGTAGTTAATTCTTTTATACCCTTAAATTACTAAAAAAATCAGATTATTCGTCATTTTATGTTTTCCACGTAAAAATATGGTATATATTTTTTTCTTAAATATTTTTTAGAGTAAATTTTCAACTTCATAGTGGTTAATTCTTTTGTAATCTAAAATAACTATATCAAATTCGGATTATCCATAAATTTTAATTATCACAAACAAGAGTAGAGCCAGGGAGGTACTCCCTCCGTTCCGTTCCATAATATAAGTGATTTTGACTTTTTCCTTTTCCTTATACTGTTTGATCACTCGTCTTATTTAAAAAATTTGTGCAAATATAAAAAATGAAAAGTTATGCTTAAAGTACTTTGGATAATAAAGTAAGTCACAAATAAGGACACGACTCCTCGCCGTCGGCATGACGTCAGCGCCCGATTTACGTGCAAACTTACTTTAAACTGATTTTTCTCTTAAATTACTTATCCAAATTATGATCCGATTGTACCATTAAATTCGTTGCAATTAAATCTTCAAAACAAGACCACACATCGATATATTCCGACGAAATTTTTTACCTAATTATTGAATTATTTTTAAATGTTACACGATGTTCCACCAGGTATATCGAAATTGTTGTACTAAGTAGATCGAAAATATTTCACTCGTTTAAATCGGGTGTTCAGCAAATAGCGAAAGAATGTTTCAGTTCACTGCAACATTTGATCCATACATAGTGAAACATTATAAGTACACTAGGTGAAATATTTTTCGGTGGAACAAAAAATAAAACAAATTCCCTTAATAGGGAGTTTCCAAAATAAGTAGATTTTTTGTTGCAATAGAATGTTTTAGTTCACTGCAACATTAGATCTATATATAGTGAAACATTGTGAGTACACTAGGTGAAACATTTTTGGTGGAACAAAAAAAGAAATAAATTTCCTTAATAGAGGATCTCCAAAATATGTGAGTGATTTGTTGTAACGACGCGTTCTATAATATCTAAATCCAATGCAACATTTGATCCGTATATAGTGAAATATCACGAGTACACTAGCTGAAACATCGTAAAACTACTGGTTGAAACATCTAAAAGAACCATATGCAGCATTTTTAAAAAATATCATTAAAAAAGCTAAAATATTTTTTGTCGAAATATAATCATGTGTGGTCTTGTTATAAAGATTTAATTACAACGAATACAACAGCGTGATCGGATTGTAGATTGAATAATTAGTTTATGAGAAAAATCGTTTTAAAGCTATTTAAAATACTCAGCACGTGGTTCGGACGCTCGAGCGCCCGACACACAGCATTTCCCATGTAAAATAAATAATAATTTTAGTTTTTTTAATAAGACAAATGGTCAGTATAGGAAGAATAAAGTAGGTTCTAGGGAGTAAGTATCACTACAAATATCTTTTGAAGGTGGGCCCAAGGTGTCAGCAGCTACCAGAAGTTTTTCGTACGGAGTACTATCTATTGGAGGTGGGCCCGAGGTGTCAGGGCAGAGGCTTGACCGTTGGGCGAGGCTTCACGTGCGGTGCGGTGGGTTATAGGGTACTTTTTGGTTTTGGCGTGTGGACACGAAACGGAACGGAAGTAGCGTGTCCCGCGCGCGTGATCGCCGTCCGGTCGGGTCGCACCCAAACCCACCCACCAGCCAACCGACCCACCACCACCAGCCGACTCCGCTCTCCATCTCGGCTGCCCCTTCCACGTCGGCGGGGCCCACCCGCTGCCCACTGGGCCTCGTGCCGCCGTGTACGGCCTGCCAGTGCCAGGCCCCGACTCACGAGCGCTGGAGATCGTCAACGTGTGCTCTGCACGTGTACACGTACTACTCTACTAGGAGTAGAATAAAAGGAAAATAAAAAAAGTAAAAAGAAAAAAAGGGGCTCCCCTTGATTACGGCGGTAAAGCTAGTTTGTGTCTCCTCGTGATGCTGATGAGCCTCTTCTTTTTTTCCACCGAAATGGCCTATTAACTGGATTAGCCTTTTCTTTTTTCACCCAAATGGCCTAACTGCATCAAGCTAGGTCCCGTCGAAAATCTTTGGGCTCGTCCGCTCTTGGCCACCGCGTAAGGTCAAGTGTGCATGTACACAAAAATGTTTTGAGAAACCATATTTAAGTCATACTATCTCCGTTTTTGCTATAAATCGTTTTAACTTTTTCTTAATCTTTAATTTAATCAAATCTATAGAGAAAATTAGCAACATCTATAACACCAAATTAATTTTATTAAAACTAACATTTAATATATTTTTATTAAAAAATATTGCTATATTTTTCTATAAATTTGATCAAACTTAAAAATAATTAATTAAAAAAAATCAAAATGACTTATAATATAAAATAGTTGGAGTATTTAGGAGATGTCAAGTTGGTGAGAAACAACTATTAAGTGTAAGAATCAATTTTTAATATTTTTTTTTCTGAATTGTATAGCTATACATTCTCAATTGTATAGAACCAACTGTTAAGTGTATCCTTGTTGGCCAAGTGGCCAAAATAACATTATCATGCAGGACACGGGGGCGTTGAGGTGCAACAAGCGACATAGCCAAAGTCCAGAGAGAGCAAGAGGGTGATTAATAACTGGGAGCAGCATCTCATCCAACAAACAGCAGGATGCATTGTTTTACTTTAACCTGCATTTTTGTGCCACAACATGGTAATCAATCCCTTTTGCTGGCTGGGTGTCGGATATCCAGGACAGTACGCGTATATACTTCCAATGACACTATATATCCGACATGGAATGGTGCAAGAAAGCGGTGTTAACGGTAACAGGATCAGAGCGGGGCCATCTCTGATTTGTACTCACCAAGACCCCTCGAGAAAAATGCAGGCAATATGACAAAATTGAAATGACTATTAGTTTTCAGCAATCAACACGATGAACGAAACACCAAAACAAGCTCGACCGTGGAAACACTAAACGTTGTCCCTTTTTGTTTTGTCCAGCCTGATCGATAAATATTGCCTCGTTTGCCATCTCGTGTTCCTTGTGTCTTATTGGTAATTGATGATTCCGATATAGAACAAATAATCTTGTAAAAATAAGTAGATTATTTGTTTGTGTAAGTCTCCTCTAAGCTCGTGTTTGCTGTGCGTCATGCATGACGGCATATCATTTACTGTAGCATTTTAAGTTAGTGGGCTGTTTATAGGTCCTCGATCTCTTTTTTTTCTTGTTAGTTTTTTCTTTCACTTTTTAAATGTCATTTGCGATGCATTATTTAGGCAAGTTGGCGTCGTTCTAAGCATGCTTTATTACTTTATC